ATCAACTCTTTGATTTGTTGAATCATTCTTAGTCTCCATTGCATTGATTTCTGCTCTGATCTTTATAATTTCCTCCCTTGTATGAGCTTTGGGTTTGTCTTGCTCTTCTTTTTCTAGGAGCTTAAGATTCAGCATTAGGTTGTTTATTTGAGCTTGCTCTGTTTTCCTAGTGTGGGTTTTCACTGCTATGAATTTCCCTCATATAACTGCTTTCATTGTGTCCCACAGATTCCTGTATGTTGTACTAGCATTATCATTAAATTGTAAAAAAACTGTCTAATTTCTTCTTTAATTTCCTCTGTGACCAATTTGTTGTTCAGGAGAGTGTTATTCAATTTCTATGTGTTTGTGAAGTTCTTGTGGTTTCTTATGCTATTGATCTCCAGTTCAATTGCACTCTGGTCTGATAATATACACAGGATAACTTCAATTCCTTTGCATTTATTAAACATGTTCTATGAACTAGTATGTGGTCTATTTTGGAGAATGACCTGTGTGCAGCCAAAAAGAATGTATATTCTGACTTTGTGGGGTGCAACACTGTAGACATCTATTAAGTCCATTTGTTCAAAAGCTTGGTTCAGTTCTAGTATTTCGTTTTTGATTTTTTTGTCAAGATGATCTGTCAATTTGTGACAGTGGGGTATTGAGCTCCCCCACTACAATTGTGTTAGGTGCTTATTTGGTTTTTCGTGTTCCTTAATATTTGTTTTGTATAGTTGGGGGCATTAGTTTTTGGTTCATTTATATTTATGATTGTCATCTCTTCCTCTTGGACTGTTCCCTTTATAAGGATGTAGTGACCTTATTTGTCTCTCTTAATTAGTTTTGGTTTGAAATTTACTTTGTCTGCCCATAAGATAGCTACTCCTGCTTTTTTCTGGGTTCCTGTTGTATGGAGAACTGTTTTCCATCCTTTTACTTTCAGTCTATGAGTTTCTTTTTGAACTAGGTGTGTTTCTTGTATACAGCATATTGGATTTTGCTTCTTGACCCATTCTGCCAGTCTATTTCTTTTGATGGGTGAATTGAGGCCATTAACTTTGATGGTTATTACTGACATGTATTGACTTATCATTGTCATGTTATTTTCCTATTGTTGGCTCTTTTTAATTTTTCCCCCTCTCCCTTTAATTTCTTGACTTGCCAGATGAAATATTTTGGATGAACTCTGTTTGGCCTCATGGAGTTGTGACCTTCATTGTCTTTTTGTAGGATACATGAATCTTCAAAAGTTTTTTTAAATATATGGTACTACAGCATCTGATTATTTTCCTTAAAGATCAGAGATTATTCATTACATTATTTTTAATGAATTCTAATACTTTTTAAAATGACAGTCTTAGTGTGAAACACATTATGCTATAAGTAGCTAGACTACACCAGAATATCCCACCTCCCAATCAACTTAAATACAGTGGCATATTGGTTCATGAATTTATTTGTTCCACAATTCTGGAAAAGATGGTCATGTTTGTGTTCATGCAGGAAAGATGGCCACAGCTGCGTTCCTAACCTGATGCAGAGTTTATAAAAAAAAATTTGCCAAACACATCTGTTTGCAACCCCAATTGTTTGCAAACAAAAGCATTCATGAACTGAGGTACCACTGTACCACTGTACCACTATAATTGTAAACTTTTCTATGCTAAAATCCTCCCTAGCCATGTTTTTATCGGTATCTATCCCACAGCCAAGTTTCTTCTGTAGCCCTCAAGGGGCTGAGTATAACAAAAGGCATAGACACAAATATAAGTAATAATGAAATTAAGTGTAATAGTTAAAAATTTCCTTCATGTTTCATACTCAGCTCAACCAAAGAATTCAGCTGCCACTAATTTGGTCTAAAATGCTGGTATCTGTGAAGCCAATAAGCAAAATGTCCCATTTTAATTGTGAATAAACTCTGTAGAATAAGATTCTAATATAATAAAACCAAAGATTTATAAACTTCAAGACAAGAACCCCACAGGCATTTAATTAGATATATAACCCGATGGGCCAGGGATTTAGCTCAATGGTTCCAGCACCTGCCTTGCAAGTTCAAGGTTCCAAGTTCAATCCCTGGTACCAAAAACAAAACAAAACCAAAAAAAACCCAAAGAAAAACCTAGATATATATAACCTGAAAGAAGAGAATGGTGCTGGTTGTTTTTTTAAGCCACTAAAACTAGAGGATAAAGTATTCTGACCTATTACAGGAAATAATTAACCACCACAACAATTATACTTCCCAGGAAATGTGATGGAACCCATACATAAAGTCATCAGATCCTGGCATACTGGAGAAGATGAACTTTCACTATCTTATCAATCTTTTGTGTTTTGTGATATCCCATTTCTTCTAAAGTCAATGCTGGTAAGTATCTTATCCAGAAAAAAGAAGCATTTCACATGTTTTAAAATTATTGATTTGCAAATTTCTAACTGCTTACAGCATCTTTCTCATTCCCACTGTTTTCTCATTTTCTGTTTCATTCAGTAATGACAAGTCATCTATTTTACTATTTGTTTTTTTAAGTCTTATATAATTTTCAAATTTATCTTAAATCCTTTCACATGTACTAATTCCTTTCTGCTACTTTTTTTCATTTATCTTCCTTTTGAGTTAAATGTTACTTATTTTTATTCTTATTTTTAAATACTCAAAAGCCTTTATTTTTCTGAGCTAGCTTTGATCTATCCAATCTGTTTATATACTGTCTGCAATCCTAATATAAAAATTTCAGTTTTGAGTCTTTCTGTTCTATATAAGTAAATTCTGAATGGCTACTTTTATTAATCTATTTTCATGGAACTGTGAAAACTACATCCTTATACATCCACTTTTGAGAGTTTACTAAAATTTTTCTATACCATAGCATGTAAGCATCTGTTTTATCCATATTTGAAAAACTGCGTGTTTTAAAGTTTAAAAATAAAAGCCACTGAAACTATTAAAACACTTTTTGATATGTATACTCAAATCTTCAATTTTACTGTGTTATTTAAATTGATCTTTCCAATTAAGGACCTCTTGCTATATTTGAGAATTTTAATGCTTCTCCTTTTTTCCTAATTGTTTTGGTTCACATATTTTGAGGTTGTGCTCTTAATACCTACAAAGGTTCATTTTATTGGTGGCCTATTATATCAATCTAAAATATATCTCTGTACACCATTTAACCTTTTTTATAATAAATTATATTTTGTTTGACATTACGTTTGCTTATAGACTGGATTATCTTGCCTAGGAAAATTATATAATACAGAAACTGCATAAAAATATAAAGTCACACACAGAATTTAATGAATGCTATAGTCTGACTGCTTGTGCTCCCCGCAAGAAAAACTCAAATGTCAAAATCTAAACCCCACATGACAGGATGAATGCGGGGAAGGGGGCTTCCAGAGGTGATCGGGTCTCAAGGGTAGAACCCTCACGAATGGGATTAGTACTCTTTTTGTGTTGCTATTGTTTTTCTCTTTTGTTTTTAGAGACTAGTATTCTTATAAAAGAGGCCCTAGAGAGCTGCATAGCCCTTTCTTCTGCCATATGAAGACATGTGCAGAAGGTATAATCTGTAAAGAAAAGGGCCCCAGACACTGAATTTGCCAGTAGCTTGATCTTTACTTCTCAATCTCTAGAACTATGAGAAATAAATTTTCTACTATTTATAAACTACCCAATTTAAGCTACTTTTGTTACAGCTGCTCAAACAGGTTAAAACAGGTTCCTTAAATTTTGTTCTACTAATTACACAAACATCATTTTTCTGAAGATAAAGAGTGTAAGTAAGTGTAAAGAGTGTTCTCTTAGTTAACAAAATCATAGATGGCTTCATTACAATATAATTGAGCCCAAAAAGAACTTAAAAACAGGATTTTCTTTTCAAGGAAAAGATTACAGTCCAAATGGTACTCTGTCTCAGACCACATGAGAATTCAGAGGTAAAAACAGTAAGTTCACTGTGCATTCCACATAAAAAATCCTTGTCACCTGGATGGTCCCACTGACTCAGAAACACTTCTTTAATGATGACTTCTATCTTTACTTTCACACTATTTCTCTGAACCAAAACCACAGTTTGAGCAGTGGTATAGGATTTTAATCTTGATTGAAAAACAAATGGTCCACAAACAAAGCAATGTTTAACAAAACTTCATTATTACCATGCCTTACATTATATACCTACACACACCACAATATGCATACATCCTTTGCAAGTGCCAAAGGAAAGTGTATTCAGTGAGTTGTAAAGATACCCTAGAGTCCATCTTACCTAAGTCAGTTATGAGAATTGGTTCTTGCAAAGGAATGTCGGGGACTGGAACATTAGTCTTCCCAACACGAACTTTTGCAGGTTTGCGCTGGTGCCTCATCTTCCGTAATTCCGTGTGTTTAAAATGGGAAGCAATGTGAGTCTTCCTATGGCCTGAGGTTCGAAATTTTTTGTCACAGTGAGGACAAGCAAAAGGCCTAACTCCTAATGAAAATAAAACTACATTTCAGAATCATTTCAAGGAATTGTAGCTCAACAACAAATGCAAACATAAAGTGTTAGTATTCCCAATATTGATTTGAATATTCAATTTTTTATTTCATGCTTATAGTTTCATAGATTATAAAAGGATTATATTTTCCCTTGTTTGTATACAGTGTATATTATGCATGTTAGAGTATGTAACAAGAGCATTTTAAGTAAAATAAAACAATTTACTGTATTCAGGACAAAGTCTTAAAGTTATAAAACATGTATATTCCAACATAAGAATTCTAAAATGTTCTCTCTCTTAAGTTCTAACCTGTGCAATGGAATGACAACACCCATCCCCCAGCTGTGGCTGGGACTATAGACACTGGTGCTTCAACAGCACTTGGTGTCTCATAAATCAGCTCTGAGAGGTAGCTTCCACTGAGTAAATAATAATGATGATAGTAGTAACGTACTGCTATCATTCTCTACTCCTGTGTCCATTTCTGAAAGAAATGTCTGCCCTCCTTTTAAAAACGTAATAGTAAATGAAAATGTAGATTCCAATGAAGAAAATATAACAAAATCAACTAATTTTAGCTTCTTCAAACACTCAGCCGCAGTCAGTCCAGTGGAAGCCCTCAGGTCTATGAGGCAACACTGCTAGGAAGTATAGAGCTTTTGAAGGATGATAAAAAGGTTCCAATTAGATCATGGTGAGAGTTGCACAATTCTAAACTGTCCACCTTGTGAATGTTATGATATGTGAATTATACCTCAATAAAACTGTATTTCAAAAGATGTAGAGCCCATATATAAAAAACTTCATGCTCTAACAGTGACAAGAAATGATTCTGGAAAGCACAGTAGGTATCCAGGCCTTCCTCCATGCTAAAGGTCTAGGCCTGATGAGCCCTAGCCAGAGCCTCTGGCCATTCTCTGGCTAATAGCTTCAGGCTCTCTGGGATTGTAGATTACCAGGTTCTTCCTTAGAAAGGCTTGGCCAGTCTAAAACTAAAGTGGATCTTCCATAAGCAATCTCTTTACCATCTGCCATTATATATGCTACATTTCGGATGCTTCCCTTCTTATAACATTAGCTCCATGGGAATCAAGGCTGCAAATCAATAAATACCACTCAGAAGAAAGAAAAATGCCACCTCTACTACAGGTGCTGTGTATCATCATCCTCCTCTGAGGGTCCATGCATACCTGTGTGCAGGCGGATGTGTACCTTGAGGCTCCCTGAGGTGGAAAAGCTCTTCATACAGTACTGGCACTTGAAGGCCTTGATACCAGTGTGGGTTTTGATGTGAGCTGTCAGCGTGCTCTTCACAGCAAAGGCCCGGAAACACTGTGGACACTTGAAAGGCTTCTCATGGGTGTGGATACGGATATGGCGCACAAGATCACTGGGTTTCCGGAATTCTTTGGTGCAGTAGGGGCACACATGCCACCGCACTCCATTCTCCTCACGAATTGAGCCTGGAGTGACAAGAAAAGCAGAATAGTCCAACCCAGCCCAGGAACTGTCACAAACACAACAAGGTCCTGCAGAGTCCTTCCACGGAGGACAGACAGCATGTTACACCTATGAAGAGCTGTATATGCTCTGCCACAGCAGGTGGTATACAGTCAGTTATAAAATCCACAACGTCCATGATCACCAAAGTTATCACGCATGATTTCATCTTGAAAAAAGCCTTAACAGTCCATGAGAACACAATTCATGGCCTCCAAGACAAGAGGGTTAACTGCACAGCCAAGAGGATGCAAATCACAGGCAAGAGATGCATCCAACTAACAATCAATGAGAATCAAAGCAGATGTGGTCAAATGACTCTATGAGCAACTCAAAGAACATGGAGAGAAAGAATGAAGTTCATTAAGTATTTCATGAACCTAATATCAAGTTAAAAATAAGGCAAATGCAAAAAATTGGTAAATGTTAAGTTTTCATGCTATAAAAGGGAACTTTAAAATAGTTAAGATAAAGAAATAGTATATATGACGCTAGGGACCTCGTAATCAAATGGAAAAGATTTTGTCTTTCCCAACTATAAGTATTATTCAACTTTTGATCAAGTTTAAAATTATTCTCAGCTAAAGTAAAATTCATGAAAACAAAATGATTTCTAAAATACAAAAAATTATAAATGAAATTTTGAAAAGTCTTATTA